GTGGGATGGGGTTACTTTGCTAAAAATAAAAAGTTTTCGAATAATATTTCATTTGTATTAGTCTCAAATCTGTTATAAAAATAACCTCAATATCGGTTTTCTCCGAGCTATCGGTTCGTCCAAAGTTTTTGCTAAAATATATGTTAGTTTTTGAAAAATTAATTCTTGAAGACTAAAACAAAGACTTAAACTCCGAGTGGGGTTACTTTGTCCACCTCATTAATTTTCATGATATTTGACAAGTAACCCCTTATTTTAACCCAGGTATGAAAAATATATATCCGAAACAATCTCACTGAATGACAAGAAAAAAATTGAGCTTATAAATGGCATTAAGACACCAGAAATTAGAAACTTAGTGATATATTAAGGAAATATTATCTTTTACGGTACAAAAATATTATTTAACTCTTATACAAATGTAAAGTAAATATAAATATAATATTCTGCAATAAAAAAAATAACAATTTTTCTTTGCGCAGTTGTAAGTTCTTTAAATAATGTTTTCACCAAAACAATAACAGCGTCTATTAAGAATAGGTTGCCCTAACTTAAATCTTATATTACTTAAAGATACTTCGCAGACTTTGATAATTTTCAAAATTGCCCCACTACATCGATCAAAGTTACCCCACGACAGATTATTTAAATTTTCGGCCATATTTACTATGCAATATTTTTCAGTTTTTAATATCCTAATGGGTTAATGTGGTTGTACAGCAAAGACTATATATTACTTTACTCCTAGTGCCTGTTTCTCTTGTGCGCTTGAAGTTTATTGGCTTCAAAAAAGGGAAAATATCGTTTTTTAAATAAAAGCCTGATACACTCTATAAACATCCCTGGTTCACTGACGAACGATTAGACATGATCGCGTTAACTATGTGAAGTTGCCATATTATGATATCTGCCTAATATCTCGAGAAATGTTTGAAGGAAGAATATAAAATAAGATCATCAATGTTTCTGTCAAAGTAGCCCCTGAAATTGAAAGTAACCCCATCCCACGGTACAGAAATTGATTATGTCATTCGATAGAGGGCAAAAAGTGGCTATGAAAAAGTGTTCTTTTTTCAATATCACCTCAAACAAGGCTGAAATGAAACAAAAACGGATTTTCAAAATTTCGTTTTTTTTTCAACTAATCACAATGTTGGTCCCCTGATTACGCAACTTTGCCCCCATTTAAGCTACTTTGTACCTCTTACCGTTTCCGATATCCCTGTAATGAGAAGCGAATTTGTAACAGCCTGTATATTTGATGGTGCACAATCAAAATATGAAACATTCCTGTTTATGTTACATATTATAATGAAACGTTCTAATACAAAAAAAATTTAGTACATAATTTCCCAGTTTTTTTTTAAATAAACTTATAATTATGTTTCCTGAAACAGACAGGTTTTCTTGATGCTTCCAAGAACTTGAACTTCTAAGAAACATTTTTTCTTTAACGAGGAAAAAATTGATGATGTTGTTTGAAACCGGATCAAATGTGTTAACTGTGTATACTAACTTAATGGTGATAAAAATAATTAATTTAATTGATGAATAATGAGATAAAACTAAATAAACTTGAAATAAAACATGGATGATGATATTGAAAATGAATATACCGTTTGCGGGTATTTTGATACATAAACAAAAAAAATATCCAATGTAACCAAAAATTATTGAGAATATTACAAAAAAATAAATTTTATTTGTAAAAATTCAGAATATCATAAAAATACAATAAAAATAAACAGAGTTAAATAATATTTATTTTATTTCTGCAAATTCTGATACTAGTATTGCACCAACGTAATTGTACATTTTAATAGAAAACTTTCCAAGAAAAGTTTATTTTCCGGAAAATAAATGAAAAATTTTGAGAAAATGATCTTTATTTTCGCAGAGTATTTTCAGTATAGGCAGAATTTTCCTTTCACTATCTTTTCAGTGGCAAAAACTATTTTTAGAATAAAATTCTCAGTAACCTATACATATACATATTAAATGAAGACTAATAAATTTATATTTTAGTAATGGGAAACAAAATCATCAGTAACAAGATTTACTTGGTTTGCAGTAAAGATGCAGATTTATATTTTTGTTTCGTATTTATCAAAATCAGTTGTATGAAATTTCTATACACTAATAATTTATGTGATTAATAACAAAAATTACCTGCACTAGAACAAGAATCTGACAAACATTGACGGAGATGCTGTGAGGCATTGTTACTAAGAACCCCATGATTTACGTCACTGAGTGTTTGGAAAATAAAATTCTTCAATTTAATTTCAGCAAATAAATATATAGTATTTTTTTTGTTTCAAATACAATTATTCAATGTTAGTATGAAAGACCAATTTTAAAACAATAAGATAACGAGATAGATAAACTACAAACAAACTATACATTTGAGGTAAAATTATTATTGACGAAATATTGCGGTAACGAGATTTGGATCAATTTTAGAACTTCCTATGAACAAACAAATACGAAATTATCACATTTCTAACCCTAATTCTAACCATAAACCGCAAATTTCAGCGGTTTGCGGCAGAAAAATGGGAACAAAACAAGCCGTGTTGTGATTCTTCACAAATCTAACGCATATAAAAGATGAGAATAAGCAAACCGAGGCAGTTCCAGGTTTCCAACTACTCCGTCGAGTACTCAGCTCTTTCTGCGCCACCATGGACGATGCTAAAAATCTGCTTTTGCTCTTCGAACGGCCTCAAGAACCAGTTTTTATGCCCAAAGGGGACACGAAGAAGAAGAAGGTCATCTTAGCGCCTCAACAGCTCTTAGTAAGTAGATTTTGTCTGTCTTTAGAAAAATTGTTTAATGATTGAAATATGCTTTCTATTAAAATATGCGAAAGTGACATTTTTCTATTTTGAGTCGAAGCCAAAATCAAAATGTAATTTTTAATTTTTTTTTTAATTGAAACACTGCACTATACGCCTTCTTATTAGATAATCCAGTTTCAAAGGAATAAGTATGTAAAAAAAACTAAAAAATGTACTTGACAAACGTCATCTTTTTTTCTCAGGTGTGATGGGTCTATAGTTTAGGAGATATGGTCAAATTTATTCATTTGCAAACAACCAAATTCTATCTTTGGCATTGTTTGTAAATGAAATTCAATTTATTGTATATAAAATTTATTGTTTTATGACTAAAATATAGGTTTAATGTTTAAAAAAATATTCAATCGCTTGCAACCACTCATTTTTCAACATTTCTTTCAATATAACATCGTATAACAATGAGGTAATATTCAATTTGCTTTCTTGATATTTCAGTTGGTGATTGAGATGTGTTCATGTACAAAATCAATTATTTCTTGGTTCCATCAAGATGAATCTAATTTTCAAAAAAGCCAAATTGCTTTTCAAAAGGATGTATTAGATTTACAAATGGGTGAACTTTACATGTAAAAAGTACAATTTGGAAGTAAACATCTGTATGATAGGCACTATTTTGATTATATCTTCTATATTATTAGAAATGATCCCTTTAAACCTGAACAATTCTGAAAAAGCCATGTAATTATAGACAGAATATTTTATTACGAAAATCATAAGTTCGGTTCACGTTCTGTTAATGTATTGCTCAACAGTTTTTTTTAAACACCATAAAACAATTCAGAGAAATATCAGCAGTTTTTACATTTACCATGTTTCTCTATTACCATGTAATAACCAAAATAACAAAAATAATAGATGGCTCTGTACACTACAATGACGAACAAACGTGATAGGAGCAAATTTAAAAACTTCACACAAACTGGTTGAAACATAAATAAATGTTGAAATCTTTTAGCAGTAATTAAATTGCATCTGAAATATAGTTAAAAAGTAATTTTAGTTTAAAGCATTCGAGACATAAAACACAAGGTTTAAATATTTAACTGAAACATTGCGAAAATGACTTATAGTTATAAAACGGAGGAAATACAATTTTTTTTTAACAAAATTTAGTTTTTTTTTTAGAATGAAAAACATAAATCATACGGCCCTGTAGTCGCTAGTAGGTTGGGTGAAAGGAATGAAACTATAACAGTGCCTGAAATATCTATTCCTCCTCTTGATGATTTTATGGTATTGAAAAAGGACGAATTTTTTTCGCTATTCATCGACAAGCACAGGATACTTGCTGGAAAACTCATTGACATCTTCATTAGTAAGTAAATAATACATAATTATTACAACGTAAACATTTAGATAAACAATTAAAAATAATATTTTTTATAACAGAATTCAATTTCTATATTTATTGTGTTAAAATTTAATATATGAAGAGGAAATAGTTGCAAAGTACCCATACCCAAGAGGATTATAGCAGTAAGTGAGTGAGATTTTAAAAATTGTCTCCAACGATGAAATTTTTATGCCCTCAAATCAATGCAAAAATTGTGTTCTGATAGTTACATTCAAAACCAAATAGCAGAACCCAATTTCAAATTTTAATTTTTATTTTGAATGGTTTCTGATATTTCTGGAAAAAATCAACTTTCGGGGGCTCTCCTTAAGAAGCTGCAGCCTTCTTAGCAAACGTTTCTCTTTGTAAGTCTACCGACTTTCCATAATAATACGGAGAAACATTTTTGGAACCACTGACTCCATCGATAGCTCGACTGGCTCTGTTTACAATTTACCCAGTCTATTCGATATAAAAATGTATGAAGATACATGAAAACTGATGATAACCTAAAATTGAACCACTAGTACGCCGAGCTGTCTAGGGCCAGAACTATTTATACTCTCTATGTAGAGAACTATTCCAGAGATTCTCAATAAGTTTTAATATTGCCTTTTATTAATACGTATATCTTATTTACTATTAAACATTTTTTTAAAGTTTTTTATCGGTTTATTTAAAAAATAATACTTTAGTTAATGATTTTGGATGATCTTAAATATATATTTGGATTTGTAGGCGTGAGAACAATAGGCCACTTGATGGCTGTTGGAGTCTATGCCCGCGAACATCTCAACCCCCAACTTTTCAGCTACGCTTTCGCTGTAGCCCTTCTTCACAGGGAAGACACGAAAAACCTACCAGTGCCATCCATTGTCCACCATTTCCCTGACAAATTCGTCGAAAACAGGGTAATTGGTAGAGCGAGAGAGGAAGTTACAATTGTTCCTGAAGAAAACAGGGTAGGGAAGATTTCAGCCTGTAGAATTTCTTGTTAACCCTAACTGCTCTTTCAGACTCCCATCGAGATTCCAAAAGATTACACTGCTTCCGACTTGGACGAGGAGCATCGCCTCCATTACTTCAGAGAAGACATCGGTGTGAATCTTCACCATTGGTACTGGCATCAGGTCTATCCAACTCAGGGACCAAGAGCGGTTATTGATAAGAACAGAAGAGGAGAACTGTTCTACTACATGCATCAGCAGATCATCGCTAGGTGAATGAGACAAATCAAACTTATTAAACTGATATTCGAAGAATCTTTTCCATAAATTTATATTTTGTAATTTGCGTTTTAGATATAATTGTGAACGCCTGGCAAACAACCTCAAACGTGTAGCTAAACTCAGTGAATGGAATGAACCGATCAAGGAAGCTTATTTCCCGAAACTAGACCGAATGGTGTCCAAGAGGTCTTACGCATCAAGAGTTGCGAACACGAAACTGGAGAATTTGCGCCGAACCGTCGACGCGTCTTTCGTAGATATTCAGGATTTGGAAAGATGGAGGGATACTATTTTGGACGCTATCAATAGAGGAATGGTGCAAGATGTAAGTTTCGTATTCTTTAAATGTTCACCAAGTCAAAAAGTTTGTCTAATATTAACGAATCTTTTTTAGAGAAATAATAAAAATGTTCCTTTGGACGAGTTTGGTGGTATTGATATTTTAGGCAATATAATTGAAGCCACTGACTTATCCATCAATCCACAGCTGTACGGAAATCTTCATAATCAAGGCCATAATTTGATTTCGTTGATTCATGACCCCGACCACAGACATTTGGTAAGTACTTGATTATAACATTTTTGTCCCCTCGTCTGTGATATTTTTTATGATTATCCACTTTCCAAATTTTAGGAAGAACCAGGTGTAATGGGAGATGTCGCAACAGCAATGCGTGATCCCATTTTCTACCGTTGGCATGCTTTTATAGACAGTATTCTGCAGAAGTTCAAGGCTACGCTACCAAGATATTCGGAAGATAGAGTAAGACTAGTCTACTTGCTCAATAATATATACAACTTGCCCTGCTTTTAGCTCAACTATCCAGGAATCCAGGTGACTGGCGTCCAAGTCAAATCCGACGGAGCTGGTGAAAACACCCTGAACACCTTCTGGCAAAAATCCGACATCAACATCTCCAATGGCCTAGACTTCCAGAGTACAGGCGACGTGTTCGTTAGGGTCACCCACCTGCAGCACCAAAATTTCAGATACGAGATCACCGTGAATAACACTACAGGCATGGCGAAGTCAGGAACCTGCAGGATTTTCTTAGCTCCCAAGTTCGACGAGAGGGGCAACCCCTGGAACTTCCAAGAGCAGAGGACTCTGTTCATGGAAATGGACAAGTTCAAAGTTGATTGTAAGTTCTCCTGGAATACAGCTTTCCGTGTGGCTAAATGTTCTTGGTTTGTTACAGTGACTCCTGGATCCAACACCATAATGCGCCTGTCCACTCAATCTTCTGTTACCATTCCATTTGAGCGGACCTATCGTGACGCGGCCCAGCGTCCAAAGGACGATGCGGGAATTGCCGAATGGAACTTCTGCGGCTGCGGTTGGCCCCAGAACATGCTGGTGCCGAAAGGAAGACCTGAAGGAATGCAAATGGAGCTGTTCGTGATGATTTCGAACTACGACGATGATAGGGTGAGAATTTCATGTTTATTTCTCTAATAGGTCGCTGTGTGCAAGGTCTTATGAAACATTAAGTGATGTGTAAAATGTTAAAATGTAGTTCTTATATATAAGGGTACAATTAGAGGAGGTTATCTGCATAAAGGAGACATTGTGAATGCTTTATAACATTAGGTGAATCGTTTATGAAGAGCAAAAGCAACAAAGGCCATAAATGTGAGTCTTGTGGAACTCCAGGGTTAGCATTATATTCTGATGATAGACTGCCATCATAACTAACCTCAAAAGATCTCTGACTCAAATATGAAGCGAAGAATTTTAATGAATTTTTGTCTAAATCAAATTGACATATTTTTTTTTATTATAAGTGTTTCTTTTATATTGTGCATATTATTAGATTGGTGATTAATTTGCTTATAGATATTTATACTCCGACATACTTACAGGTTGACGTCCAGTTCAACGGCAAATGTGACGATGCTTACAGCTATTGTGGACTGAAGGACAGGCTTTACCCTGACCGCCGTTCCATGGGTTATCCATTCGATAGGCAGGGCAGAGACGGTGTTAAGCGGCTTCAGGAATTCTTGACTCCCAACATGAGAGTGACCAACGTTAACATTAAGTTCACCGGCCAAACCTTCGTAAGACAACCATAGGCATAAAGGGTGCTTGGAATGGCGGAGTGTAGGGAACCATAGCTGACTAGTTTAAGAGTTGTTTGCCTTATGTTAATTAAAATAAATAGAGGATGTATTCAAACTTTGTTTCATTTCATTGTGTAATTGGTGTTCTACAGGGATCAGAGTTTGGACCGACTGTACCTGAGAAATTGGTCATTTTTCTTTAAAGACAGCAGTGATTTTACAATTTAGCACAATTCATTCATTTCAATTCAATTGCTTATGGCTTATGCTCAATGGCTTATGCGATATAGAATTTTAATTAACTAGCTAATACTTAAATAACTAATAAAGTAACTAATTGAAATTTGGGAAGTTATACTAATTTTTATTGAACACATCTAGTAAAAATGTGAAAAGTGTTTTAAAACTGTTCAAAATGGTCTGTATTTGTTACTAGAAATGTTATGGCGACATTTATTAAGCATGCACAAAAAAGTTATAAAGGGGTTAGTTCTGGTGAGCGAGTTGGTCAACAAACGCACGAAAGTTGTTATATGGTGCATGAAAAATTGCTGTGCACCAATGTGCATGTCCTAATGTAGATCAAGAAAGAAATTCAACTACATTTTACCATTTAGAGCCTAATCTTGCTGATCACCTCCAGAAGAGAAGATGGAATGTGGCATTTTCAGCATGTACTACTTAGCTTCGAATGTTAAAGAAGAGGTAATCGTGCTTGAGAATGAATTTTGTGCAGTGTGATTTTAGTATTGTATGAAACAGGATATGTTAGGATTGCTAGACATGTGAAAGAAATTGGACTCCAGATCCCATTTGTTCAGCAAAATCAACCAGTAACTAACAAGTTAATTCTGTAATGATACCCATGGCATTAGATAAATAGTAGAATGAAAATCGTTGTCCATATAACCCCCCCCCCCAGTAATAAATAAATAAGAAATGAAAACAACAAAAATAAGTGAATAATCTGTTTACTCACCTTATTTTTGCAGCATATGACATACTTGAAATCTTGTGGCAAATCTTCTAGTACTGATACGAGGATTTTGTCTAAGTGTCTTACTGTCTAAGTTTGTTTCCGCCCAACATTGGCGTTCAAAGCTTCTATAAACTCTTAAGTCTTAAATCAATCTTATAATTATTTTCTTATTCGGTACTTCTCCGTCGGGATAGTCTGTGTGATATCGGTATATTAAAAGGTATATTAATCATTAAATCGTCCTATGGATTTCAAGAGGAGTTTATATTTACAGTGGCGTAAAATGTTATCATTGAGAACAGGATAGAGTTTTGATGTTAATATTTTTATCAATTTATTGATTTTTCTTGTTTCGTATCCATGAGATTACAACTTAGCAACAGCTGGCACTGTGAAGGCATTCTTAATCTGATTTATAACTACCTAACAATTACGATGGGGTCCCTATAATAAAATGCCGTTCCATTCTTACCCCATTCATTCACCACACGACACTTGTCAACAATTCTGGCTTTCTACGTCTCCCATGTGTGTGTCCAACTGCTCCATTGGGCAACATTCTTTTGCATACGTACAAGAACAAAGAAGCCTCACGGGAATGTCTTTTGTTGGATCAAATTGAAAGCAACGCGCCTGTATTTAGAAATGAGGTCAATATTGCAGATAATAAGTACCTACCACAGGTTAAAAAATGTTTTTTTGTTCACCCTGTATGTGGCAGAAATACGGCTTCTATAAATGCTGCTCTGGGAACATTTCCACTCGAGGTACATCTATGAAACGTGAATGATTGATTTTATAGAAAACCAGTGAATTGTAACTTACTACTCGTTTCTATTCAACTTGAATACCTACTCATTTCGTTCCTTCCTGCTTTTTTGTTCGGTGATATTGTGTTGTTTTCAACTACTTGTGTTATATCGAGACAATCAAAACGGTGTCATTTGAAAAATCGAAAAAATTATTCTTTTCTTCTGAATAATATTGCTTGCATATGATTATCTTTGAGTATTGCTGGCATTTTTCTTTCGTGAATTTTAAAAGAAATGCATCTGACAATTAAATCTCTTGGCAAACATGAGCACCTTTTTTTGTTATTCAAAATAAAATTGTCCCTACTGTACTTACAAACAGGATAACCTAATATCCATCAATACAAATAACTTCGTACAGAGGGGTGAGCAAAGCACGGGTCAAAATATATATAGCTACAAGGACCAGTGCCCTAAAACACATAGGGTTGATTGGGGCACACGTCAACTGCACGATGAGAGGAAGTATTGAGAGGGGCATTCAAAGTATTCGAAAATGTAGACCTATTTTTAATAGTTTGCGTCGACAGTATAACTTTTTAGGTAATAAAACAGTAGACAATAATGAAGAATTTGAAATGGAATAATGCCCACGGAAATAAAATAGGAAGCATTTATATCCGATAAATATTGTAGCGAAAATATATCAATATTTAAGTTAGATAACCAGAAATAAATGTTGCTGTCTGAAATTGTACTGTGTCTAAAAATTAAGGGTAAAATTAATTCGTTACATTGCAAAGATCAAAAAATGTTTTTAATTAGCAACACTTTAAACATATATTGGTTTTACTTTAATACTTTATACAAATAACTACAAATATTCAATGATGGACAAAGAGTAAATAAAACCATAGAAACGTGTCACCAAGTGCTTGGTAAACCACCCCCTGACACAGTGACGTAACTTTCGACAAAGATCTACGTTTTGTTTGATTGTTTACAATTACAGGTGTTTCAGTATAATAGGCAGTTTGACTGCATGCTTGATTTTAACTAAATTTTGTGTCTTGGGCGTTTAAACATTGGTACTACTGAAATAATTTTTGCCGAATAGTTTGCGCTAAAATAAATTTTCGCAGAATTACTTGCGCACTACAATTTTTTTAAGCGTTTCAAAATAAACTATCTATTACTGCTTGTTCAATTTCCCACACACGCTGTTATCGGAAAAATATACAACCAAATAACATAAAACTCATTTTAATTTATGTCTCAAGTAACAGGCCTAGCGTGATCTTGAAATACTGCCGATGGATGATCAGCATATGGCAAATTACCCTTGACTGACTTTCATGCTGTCTTTGAGACAAACAATAGCGATACGCTTTTCGATAGATTAGATAATATTTACGCTTTTGCAAACATTACCACAACGTTTATCACGGCACTGCAACATGTAAATGTACAATGAACGCTCCGATGCAAATTTGAAGTGAGGATATTCGCACCCACATGTACTACGAAGCGCGTTCGACCCAGTTCTAATGAAATTGGTTTTGAAAACAAATGCAAAGTTTTGTAATGTTAGTATGTAGTATGTTTGCATGGAACAGTCCGATGTTTAAATAGCAGTATGTGTTAAAAGTGTTCATGACAAAGTTGCATTTGTTCTCGGGGACATTTAAAAAAGAACGAGTTCAATTATAATGGAATAGAATGCTGTTAACAATATTTAAAAAATAATGTTGTGGTAGCCACAGCTTGCAATTTTCGTACAAAATATGGTCGGCATAATGGTTAAGCCTCATCAATTGCGATGAGATTAATTGAAATATTCAGAGAAACTGGATCAATTAGTGATCTTGAATATTTCCATCCTTCAAGCTGTTCAGCACAAATCAACGGTTCGTGAGAGTGTTGCTGAGAGTCTAGGAACATCAATTCGGTACAGTGGTAAAAAATTGGACATTTCGGGAAGCTCTCTAGACCGTATTCTCAGGAAATATTTGCATCTTCATGCTTATAAAATCTAGTTTAAAAATTGACGAATTTGGGGTTCAGAAATGCCACGAGTGGAGACTATTTTCCAGATATGCTATTCCAAACATAACTATATACTGTATGCTTTATGAATCAATAAAAAAATTTACAATTTTTAATTAAAAACCTGCGTTTTTTATAAAAATTACTTCTTGGGTGAATTTTGGGACATTCTTTATAAGCGAGATCAATGATGCAGAGCGTTTACGCTAGTGTGGCCAATTCTCACGTAAATTGTGCCTAGAATATTATTGAATGTTACAATATCAACGTTACATATAAGTACTGCATTTTATAGTATTTAAAAGAACTGTTACATTCAACTCTGCCATATTTTATTCAACGAATTTTTGATGAATTTTGCCATTTTTCCCATTCAAATCACGCGCTCTACAACGTAAACCATTAAATTGAAAAATTAATCGAAGTCTCAAATATATTATACATTAAATATTTATTTTACTTTTAATATTCTTATACAAATAAAAAAAAAACAACATTCGCCAGCAATACTTATTATTCGTTGAATAAAATATGGTAGAATTGAATGTAACAGTTCTTTTAAATACTATTAAAATGCAATATATGTAATGTTGATATTGTAACTAACATTCAACAGACAATTTACGCAATAACTGTAATAGTTAATTTTTAGACAATATTTTATACATCGACCTCTTCTGAGCACGGCAAATAGAGTATTGATCACTTTTTCCAAAGAAATAATTGACGTTTGTTTTTAAATACGTAAAAAAGCCTTCTTACTTGTCAAAATGTCGAAAGCACAATGAAATTACAAAAGAAAACGTGAATAGTCAATAAATATGTATTTTTCGGGGTCTGGCGATGATTTTTACAAACTTTTGCTTACACCATTCGAATGACCGGAAAAAAATAAGTTGATTAAAAAAAGCATCCATTTGTTAAGTAAGAATTTTGAGAAGCCTAGCGCAGCATGGGCAATATGACGTCACAGCGCTCCCCTCTCCTGGCTACCGCTCGAATCCATTAAAAAAAATTCAACATATAAAGGAAGTCTTCTACTTAATTGGTTTGAAATCTGTATATTAAAAAACCGCCGAGTAAGGATTCTAGTTACTCGTGATTTATTTTGTTCATCAAATTCAATAAAAAAAATTATTAGTTCGTTGATATTTATTTTTAGAGGTTGCTCGAAAACATTTTAGGTACACTACTTTTAAAGTTAAAATAATTATGAGTGACCTTTAGAAATTAAAATTACGATTTGAAATTTTCAGAATCGAGATTTTCTTCAACCTAGAAAATGATAAAATAACGAGAAAATTTTTTTTTTTAAATTTTCAATTTTTGACGATTTTG